TGGGCCCCGGGTGGTCTGCCTTGAATCGGCCCCCTGTGAGCAGATGAAAGCTGGTCGGTGGCTGGGCAGGGAAATGGGCTGGCGGGGGGCCAGCGGGCAGGGAGGCAAGCTGCTCCCTCCCAGGGCTGCAAGTGGGGCTTCCAGCGGCCTGGGGTTGATTAGGGGAAGCCGGGAGGTCTGAGGTTAACCCCTTCCCTCCTGCTGGGTGCACTCCCCTGGGGATCTAGGGGATCCTGGGAGCCAGGGGCCAGGAGCAGTTGCCTCTCCTCAACCCAGGCACCCCTCTGCCTCCCCGTACCTGGAGCTGAAAGCGAAACTGTGGCACCTTGAGGACCCTTGAAGGTCCAGAGACAGGCTTAGGGTCACTTCTCCTGCCCATGCTGTCTGGGGGCCCCCAGCAGCCACAGTGGCTCTGTGCTTACTTCCTTCAGACCTCTCTGGCCAAATGTCACCTCTTCAACCGGCCCCCCTGGATCCACTCCCTGCCCACGTCCTATCCCTGTACTCCCTACCCCTTCACCCAGCTCTGTTTTTCTTCATTAAGACTTCTCGCTACCGGGGCACTTGGGTGGCTCAGGGATTGAGCGTCTGGCTTTGGCTCAGGTCATGATCCAGGGTTCTAGAATCGAGTCCCGCATTGGGCTCCCTGCAGGGAGCCTGCTTCTCGCTCTGCCTGTGTCTCTGCCCCTCTCTCTGTGTCTCTCTTGAATAAATAAATAAAATCTTAAAAAAAAAAGACTTCTCACTACCTGAAATTAAATCAGCTAATCATTTGTTTACTTCATTTACTCCACAAACATTTACTGAGCGCCTCCTAAGTGCTCACATCTGCATTTCGGGCTCTAGGCCAGTGCCTAGCAAAGCAGAGGAGAGAACCTCTGCCCCATGGAGCACAGACACTGGTGAGGAGAGATGAGAAATAAATGAAATAAATGTATGAACTCTATAGCATCTTGGAAAGTAACCAGGGCTCCAAGCAAAATCCAGGCTGGTAAGTATGGGTGGCGGTGGGTGAGTGTGTGATCTGAAGCAGCATGTCAGGGGAGGCGGCTCACTGAGAAGTTAGGGTAAAGACTTCAATTAGGGTGGAAAAGAGTCAGCCGTGATTCTAGGGGTGTCTGGGGAGGAGTGTTCCAGAGAGAGAGAATAGCAGTGCAAAGGCCCCGCGGCAGGGACGTGGCCGCCCAATTCGAGGACCAGCCAGGAGGCCGGTGTGGCCAGAGTGGGGTGAGTGAGGAGGAAGATGTCAGAGAAGAAGGCAGGGGTAAGGAGCACAGATCAGGGAGGGCAGTGTGGGCCACGGTGACAAGAGAACTATTTACCATCTTTCCCCACTGCTAGCGTGTAAGACCTGAAAGGGATGGAGCCTGTCTATTGGATTCACTGTGGCATCCTCAGCTTCTAGAACAGTGCCAGACACCTGAAAGGTGCCCAGGAAAATATTTGTTGAAATCATTCTGTGTGCATTTTTGGGAAGAAAGGGCCCACAGGCAAGATGCCAGAACCGCCCCCCTCTACCTCAGGCAGGATTAAGAACTTGGGTCCTACGCTTTCAGGTACCAGCACCTGCTAAGCTTGGAAGATGGGGCGAGCAGTTCTTAAACCATGGTCCATGCCAGAATTGCCAGGCACTGGACTGCCTCCTGCCTGAATCCTGGATTCTGCTCAGCCACCTGCTTTTTTAACCAGCCCCCGGTGACTATGAGGGACACCAGCATTGAGAACCTCAGAAACCAAGGCCACACAGGCAGGAAGCCACCAAGCCAGCCTTCAAACCCAGCCAGCCACCTGGCTGCAGATCGGGCATGCTCTGCAGGGCACCAGAGGGGAACGACCCAGCCACAGAACCCACAGCTGGGCCTCAGGGATCTGCAGACTCCCACTCCTTGGCTCCCAGGACCAGCCCCTACTCCCACCCCACCCAACCCCACAGAAGGCTCAGCCCTCACATGGGGCTGGGAGTCACAAAGCAGGAGAAAAGCCCAGAAAGGAAATCCTGTGATAATCCATGAGGGTTTGGGTACTTCCTGTGGGCTGGGCAGCTGCAAGCTCCTTTAATGCTCAGACAACTCCCCAGAGCAGAGGCTAATTATTAGCTAATATCATCCCCATTTTACAGATGAGCACAGTGAGGGAGGAAAGGCCCTTCTAAGTGGCCCCCACTTCCCTGAGTCCCAGATCAGAGCCCATGGGGTGCACTGAAGCTCACCCTCGGGCAAGTGGCTCTGCCTCCTGGCCTGTCTCCTCTTGGGCCGGCTGAGGACCCGTTAACGGGGACTCTGCACCAGGTATGTAGGAGACACCTGGTGACCAACAGCACTGAGCTGGTCCCTTCCTTCTTCTAGGAGGGGAAACAGAGGCCAAGAAAGGAAGACGATTTGACCAAGCTCACAGACTGAAGGCCAGGTTGAGGTCAGAAGCCCGGATGCTGGTCAGACCTGACTTGAGGGCTGGGTGGGCAGGGGCAGGAACAAGCAGGTCCTCGGGATGCGAGGCTGGAGAACTGCCCCCTCCCACAGCTGCTCTTCTCTATAAATAAGCTGCTGTTAAGATTATGTTTGAACAAGTCGCTTTAAAGCCACAGGTCTGGCCCATGCCAAGGCCCAGAGAGGGGTGCCGTCTGCCTCAGGTCCCAGGGCTAGATGGGCCTCTGACTCCAGCCTATTTCCTGGCCTCCAGCTCCTTCTCCTTCCTCTTCCTGCCTTGTCTCCCTCTGGCCTCTGTTGCCTTGTCCTGTGCCACCCCTTCCTCTGTCAGCTTCCCCCCCAGAAGGGCTGTCTCAGGTCTGTGGGACCCTGGGAGAGAAGAGCAACCAAGGGATTCTAACTGGGGGCGCCTAAAGCCAGGGCTGAGCCTCTACTGTCACCCAAGGGACTCCAGGGGGAAGGTGGGCAGCTCTGGGAGGAGCAGGGCTGGACAGAAAGGGCCCTGAGGGATTCCAGGCATTGCTGGGCCCTCGGAACGTTCCTAGCAAGCTCCAGGGCCCCTGCTCACATGCCTCCACGGACTGGGTGCTTTGTGGAGTGGTTCCTAAGTGCTTTCTCATCACACTGAGCCTGACTGTAGCTTTTGTCCATTCCCATCCTGCCCCTGGAGAACAGAGTGGCACATCACCTCCTTTATACCTCTATGGCCATGGTGTGGGTTTGTCAGCAGCCGCGTGGGTCACCAGAGAGGGTCACCATTCCCTAATGGTGGTGGTGGCGGTGGGAATGCATGGCAGTGGCCAGGTACTGGGGATAACAGAACACCACGGATCCAGTGACTCAGCAGGACCCTCCCACTGCCACAGCCAGATGCTATCCACATGCTGTCACTGATCTCTAGGCCTGCAGTGTGGGTGGTATCACCGCACTTCCGGGAGGAGGGGCTGAGGCCCGGAGAGGCTAGCAACTTGCCCAAGGTCCCTCTACCAGGCAGGCTGGCTCAGAATCTGTTCTCTGCACCATGGGGGCCTATGGTTCACAAGGGCTTCCCAACCATCACCACCTTGAGACTCTTGGGATCATTGACCCAGTTCACAGATGACAAACGGAGGCTAAAAAGAAGATACAACCTATCCGGGGCTGTGAAGCCCAAAGCCAGGGGCATGGACCCATCCAAGTCCAATCCCAACAGGAATCTGGCCAGAGCAGATGCCCACCTGTGGGCCTGATGGCCATGCGTGGGAGCTCAGGGGGGCTGGAGGAGGAGGCCCCGAGAGCCTGCAGGGAGGACTTCCCATGTGGCCAGACACTGGAGTGGGCCCAGGAACTGGACAGATGGGGAGCCAGGCCGGCCTGATTCCCAAGAAGGAAGGGGCCAGCCCAGAACCTGGTCTGGGTGGCCCTCACTAACGACACCCTGGCATAGCCAAGCCTTGTTCTGAGCCTCCCAGGCTCAAGTCTCCATTCTGTCTTCCTGTCCCAAGTCCACCCAGCTTGGAATGGAAATTGAAGACCGGTCTCTGGATGGCAAGGCAGCTCCCAGCAGACCGTGGGAGGCCCTGGCAGGTTCTCAACATCCCCTGGCCTGGATTCTCTTCTCACTGGGATGACCCTTTGGCTCCGCTGTCACAAGGATCCCATGAGATAATAAACACAAGAGGGTTTCTAAACGCAAAGGGCCACTATCACAAAGAGAAAGACAGGGCAGCTCTCCGTACCCCACACTTGCATGCTGCAAGTAGGGGTGGGGGGCTCCAGACAAGCACTCTGGGCAGGGTCCAGAAAGCAGCCAGTCCAGAGGTGGCCAGCTGGTTCTCAGTTCCATTAATTCATGAAAGCACAGTCATTCATTCATTTGGTGAACACAGGCCTCTGGCCCACCCTGTGGCAGCTGCCCCTCCCACCCCCCCTAATCTAAATCTGCAAACTCTGGGTCCTTTGGAAGACAGAAGCAATTAAACACAAATTCTCTCTGATGCTAAACTGCACACATCAGGACTCCCTGCACATAGTAGGTGCTCAATAAACATTTGCAGAATCCAATCTGCATTCCTGAGTATGGGTTTTGGGGTCAGATGGCCTGGGCTCTGTGTGACTTAAGTCATATACTGAGATCCAAAGAAAGTTTCCAAGGAGGGGATCTGGCCTCGTAGCCAGACCAGCTCCTGTTTTTGATGGCTCCCTCCCTCAGCCACTGGCAGAGGAAGCTGGGGTGGAGCAGAGCAAACCTGGCTCCACCCCGCCCCCCTCACAAATACCCTATCTGAAGCTTTTTCCATCCTATTCCTTTCCTTAACAAATGCAAATTGCAAATCCATACTCCTTTAGCTGCGCCCCGCCCCTTCGTGGGCAGTCATCCCACAGGGAAGGAGGTCAGGCCAGGGCTAAGCACCCAGGGTTTAGGGTTTGCGGGCAGGCACACAGTGTGTTGGGAGGTAGAGCCCAGGACTGGGATCCTCCACAGGGGCACTCCAGGGACCCAGTGCCATCTATCTGACCCTGGCTGCTGCCCCTCACGCCCCCCGCTGGACTCTTCTCCCCCACACCCAGGGGATCAGGGACTCTGGCACTTACGTCTGGGTTCCCGGGGTCCATCCACAGTCACCTTGATGGCTCGGTGGTAGGTGGCCACTTGGGTGGGGTTGGTGAACACGGTGATGGTCAGTGTAAAACTCTTCCCTGGGGGGAGTGGAGAATAAAGGCAGAAGGTTGGCACCTGGAGCTATTAACATAATTAGCTTCACCCTGTTCTCCCTTCCCGAAGGCACAGATCTCTCTCCTTTGAAACTGGGCAAAGGGGCTCTAATTCTAGGGTGAAGTTCTAATTGCTGGCCTTGGCATTCAAGGTCTCAGGAGATCTTGCACCAATTTTATCATCTAACCCCACCCCATGCTCTGGGCACCCTGCTATTTCCTCCTGCTCCCCGCAACCTTTGTGCCATTCCTTCTAACCAGAGACCCTCATGATTTTGGGGTGTGGAGCATCTCAAGTATATCTTTAAAATATGTATAAAAATACATATTTTGGGGCCACCTGGGTGGCTCAGTGGGTGAAGCATCTGCCTTTGGCTCTGGTCATGATGCCGGGGTTCTGGGATTGAGCCCTGCATTGGGCTCCCTGTTCAGCAGGGAGCCTGCTTCTCCCTCGCCCTCTGCCCCTCCCCCCAACTTGTGCTCTTTCTTCCTCAAATAAATAAATAAAATCTTTCCAAAAATACGTTATTTTTTTCCTGAAAGTAATTATGACCTTTGTAGAAAATTTGGGGAACACAGAAAAATCACCTGCAGTCCCACTAGCCAGAGAAAGTTCGGGTGTTGCCTTCCCTAATCCCTTTTGTGTGGGTACGTGTGTTTACAGAGTGGCAAGGATACCAGAATACGCATCTTCAGATTTTGTTTTTCTTCATTTAACTTCACATCGTAACCACTTTCTGATGTCATTAAAAATCCTTCATAAACTTCATTTTTAAAGGCTGCAAGAATGCTTCAATGCACAGAAGCCTCGTCTTTTCCTTCTCTGCCCCCTTACTCTGGGGGGCTGCCCCCCTGCGGCCCCCTCACTGCTGAGCGGAGGGGGCGCTGAGAGAGGGCTGACTGGGGAGCTGCCGACATTTCATTTGTAGACGCAACTGTTATTTCCAGAACTCTGTTCTATTTTTAGATAGACATTTGGCTCCAAAGTCTCCATTCAAAATTCCTAAGAGAGGAAAAACTTTTAAAATAATAATTTTTTTTTACCATTTAAAATAAAACGAAAATGACCTTTTGTTTATAAGAAATCTTTGTCTCCGTCTCTGCTTATTTCCTTAGAATGGGTTCCAAGAAGCGGTGAGTGATTTCATCGCATCAGAGGGTTGGGATGTATTCAGGGACATTGATCTCGAGTGAGAGGATGCTCCAGAGAGTCACCGTGACCGCTGCGAGGCTCCCCCACCCGGCGCAGGGCTGCCTGTCGAGGTGGGAGACGCTACTGGCTCCTGCCTCCATCCGCTCCCTGCCGCGCCCTGGGGAGACTGGAACTTTTCATAGGCTTATTGTCTGTCCTAACCCAACACAGATGATTGCTTCGTGGTCCTTATTAGCATCCTCTTGCCTTTTAGAAATCACCCAGTGATAACCTGCTAGCACTTTCCCTAACCTCTTTGTGGCGACCAGTTTCTCAGTTCAGTGGCCTTTACGTTTTGCCTTCTGACACCGAGCTGCTTTGCATTTTCAGTTCTTCCTCTTGTTGGGTGATTTCTCCTAGTGTTTTACGTTTAGGCACGTTTCCCCAGGTGACAAGCAGGTAAAGCTGACCTTCAGTGAACAGGGTCCTCTCTACCTCCTACCTTCAAGTCTTTGATTCTTCTGGGGGTTTAACTGGTGGGTGCAGTGAAAGGTAGAGTTTTTCCTCAAAGGGCAACCCAATTTTCCCATCACCTTCACTGAAGTAGGCGTCCTCCCTCTCCTGCCCTCCTCTCTGTTCGCATCAAAGCCCCCACGCTGTGAGACTGGGGAGGCTGTGGGAGGAGCTTCGCTGATATCCTAAGCTTGACCTCCTCCTTCTCTGCCTCTGAGCATCCCTATCTGCGGGACCCAGTTAGGATCCAGGGGCTCCCTAAGGGCAGGGCCCATGGCCTGGTGCACCTGTGTCTGCCAGGGCTGGCCCAGGGTGGGCAATTGAGAGAGACCACCTGTGTGGACCACTGTGCTGCCCTGTGCTCCCGGCATCTCTCCAAGGCAGCCGGGTGGTCTTGACGTCCCCCCTTCACAAGTGGGAGATGAAAACTCAGAGTGGGGGACGGTAGCTTGAGGTCCTCTTTGCACAGCCGGGTCCACTGTGATCAAATGAAAACTTGAGCCTCAGAAACAGGAGAGTCCAGAACCAAAGTAAACCAGCTCAGGCTCCCAGGGCCACACCAAGGAACCCTAGGGCGTCTGAGACACCAGGGGGTGGTTTTAAATTGAGGTGTGACTCAAACTGGGGCAGAGTGGGGGCCTCTCTGGAAGGATTTTCCTGAGCCAGCCCACTGGTGGCCGGGATGGAAATGCACACAGCACCTGTCCTTGGAGTCCCGTGTCAGAGGAAATCGAACCCCTTACCCAGACCACAGGGGCACTTTCCATGGTTTCTGGAAACCGAAAGTGCAGAAGGTCTAGGGAAATGCCAGGCAGATGGCCTCAGGCTCCCTGCCCACCTACCCCCCTTCCTGGGATTTGCTTTCCCATCCCTCTCTGGTCATTTTTGTCCTGGATTCCTCCCTCCCCTGCCAGCTGGGCACTTTCCCAAGGGGTGTGTGTGTGGGGGCTGTCCCTGGGCCTTAGCCGCTTCCATCACCTCCTTGACACTGCAGGGTGCCGGGCCAGATGGGTCTCAATTACAGAAGTGCTCCTGTGTCTCCCTCATTTCCTTCAGGTCTCTACTGAAAAGTCACCACCTCACTGAGGCCCCCTCTGGTCCCTTTATCCAGAACTGGGTGATGGGCACTAAGGAGGGCACTTGATCGGATGAGCCCCGGGTGTTATACTATATTTGGGAAATTGAACTTAAATAAAAAATAATAAATAAAAAATAAAGCAGGCATTTTAAACTCGGCATCTGGCAGGGCTCCTTTTTAGGATTAAGTGGGCCCATGAACAAGGACAGGAAAAAAAAGAGGACTGTATTGTGTCTAACCTCTAGCTGCAATTTAGCATCTCCCTCAAGTATGACCATGGGCAACAAACCACAGAGGTATTACAGAAGTCCCTGTGACCTTGTCACCAATAGACGTCACAGATATTTACATATCATATTACAGACGTTGCAAACTTCTCTAAATATCTTCTATGCTCGTCACAACTTCAAAATCATGGTCGTCATCAGACCCATTGCCACATCTTATTATTTAATATCCTAATAAAGCAGCACATTTATCCCAATTTTTTAGACATTTTGCTAACTATGTTTTATTATAATTGGTTTCCATTATAATCCTTTGTATTTTATTCTTTAAAACACATTATTCTCAAACTGTCAAGTGGCCCATGGGGTAAAAAAAGGTTAAGAAACTCAATTTGAAGCGTCAGACCCTCCTGCTCCCACCCTACCTGCTCAAACTTCCCCATGATGCTTACTACTTTTGGCAATTCATCTATTTATTTTCTCTTGTCTCCTTCTACTAGGTGGTAACCTCCCTGGGCACCAGAACTTTTGTCTTGTTCACTGCTATGTCCCCAGCCCCCCAGAACAGCATCCAGCACACGGCAGGTGCTCAAGAAATGTTTGTTAAATGTATTAAGGGAGAGATGACTGTTTCCATTTTACAGATGAGAAAACTGAGACCCATAGAGGGGCAATGAATGAGTCATTCAGGTCAACAGTTATCTAGGTAGGGCTAGAAAGGTTAGAATGTGCTGGAGCCTGCCCAAACCCCCACCCCATATTAAAGATCTGCTCCTGGGGAGTGAGAATCCCCCACTCTCACCAGGCAGCAAACCACAGGCTACCCCTGAGGTAGGTCAACAGCTTCCTCTCACTTTCCAAGCCCGGGACCACCCCTCCCAGGTACCCAAAGAGAGAAGGGAGGAAGGAGGACAAATGGGAGAGGCTGGGACCTGGCAGCAGGAGTGGAAGGGAGGGGCATGTGTCAGGTGCCATGGGAGGCAGGGGCCCCGGTCAACGAGGGGTCGGGAAAGCCGTCTCCCCGAGTGCCCCTCACTTCTCTCTCTCTGCCTCATGGCAAACCCATCTTTCCATCTCTCCCCGTCTCAGCACAGGAAGCAGAGATGAACGAGAAGGTGGACGATTTTGTGCAGGAACCTCAGGCAAACTTGCAACCAGTCATTAGTCCAAGGGCTGGCCTCGGCTGGAGGGCAGAAGTCCTAGTCTGGAAATGGCTGCCCCTCAGGGCCCTGAGCAACCCCAGGCAATCTTGGGGACCCGGGGCTCTGGACCAATCAACACGTCCAGCCAGCTCTGGTGGTGGTGTGGCTTTGGGCAAGTCCCTGTCCCTCTCAGCCTGGGCTCTTGTGTCATAAACCCCCATCACAGGGGCTTCACGGACATCAGGAGCGGACATGTCTCAGGGGACCTCTGGGTTTTCTAAACATCCACCTAGAAGCTTGTAAGCTGCACCCACACGTCTCATCCCAAATCTCTCTCCACCTACTCTCATTTCTTTTAAACCAGCTAATGACAGTTCAGGAACTCAGGCTTTTTTCATTTTCCCCTAGGCCTGTGGCCGCCTCCTAGAGGAGATTTTGGGAATTTGTGGTATGTGGTCCTGGAGAGGGGACGTGGAGGTGTGGTGGGGAAGGACACTTACATCCATCCGTTCCTCCATCAGGGCACTGCACAGGGTACTGAGGTAGTCATTCTTCCCGTGTGTGCGACACTTGTTACAAAGATTCTCTGAGCCATGAACCTAACTCAGTTTTACACGAAATAAAGCAAAGTTTTTTGCACACTTCATAACAACTGAATTTCCCAGAAGATAATCCATCTTTCCTTTCCTTTCCTTTTCCTTTCCTTTCTCCTTTCCTTTCCTTCCTTCTTTCCTTCCTCCCTCCCTCTTCTTTCCTTTCTTTCTTAAATTTTGTTCAGAATTGTTCACAACCCCAGAAAACCATGTCATTGACAGCAGAGGACTTGGAGTCCTGGGCTGCGTATGCCGTGGGCTGGCAGTCTGCCGTGGTGGTCCCAGGGCTTCTGCAAGCACCCACTCACCTCAGCATAGCCTTGTCCAACATTTACACATTCAAATGGATATTTTACCGTAAATCACTTGCCCATTTTTTCTCCGTTATAGCTATGGACTTATATAGATTCTGAAACTGCAGGTAAGTAGGTAGGTTCCATCAGCTACACGTTTCACTGTAGGACAATGAAGGGTGTGTTATGTAATATTTGTTGGAAGAAGGTCACTGCGTCTGGTGGGCTGGGATCCTCAGCCCTAATCACTGCAGGAGGCATCAGTGACTTGGTTTCTTTCTCTCCCTTTTCTTGGGTCCACCTTCAGGTTTATCATGAGGGCTCTGGGGTGGTGGTGTGTCTATGCATCCATGGAAACCTATCTTCCTAGAACTAAGACAGAATCAAGGACTAAAAGGTCAGGAAAACAAACAGGAGTTCCTACTTGGCTTCTCGGTCTTGGCAGAAGTCGGAGGGCCAGGGAAAGGCTCTGGGTCCCAAATTCCAACCTGCCCCAACTCCTCAAATGCCCTGTGGTTTGTGTCAATCACTGATGGGTCCTCTCAGTGGGACTTTCCCGATGGGCAGCATGGGCACAGCAGATGCGCTGCTGCATGCCACAGGACCCCGGAGCCCTCCTTCTCACTGCTACCCGCCTCCACTTCTCCCACTCAACAATTCACACCTTCTGGGTTTCCCCCACCCCCGCCCAAACCGCACCATAATCACAGAATCAGTGACTATACCACTCAAAGGGACTTCAAAGATCTCTTCCACTCGCAAGCATTTGAAGTAACAAAATCTGTAACGTGTATCCAACCCTCGATATGGGCCAAGTGATACACTGTGCCAATTTCCTTAATCCTTATAAAATCTCACCAGAGAGGTGTCATTATCTTCTCTAGTATACAGACGGGGAAACTGAGGCACAGAGTGGTCAAGCCATTTGCCCCATGTCATCAAGCCAGTCAGCGGGAGAGCTGGGGCTGAAATCCAGGTGGGGTGATTGTGGCACCCAGGCGGTTGGATATCATGAGCCTCTGAGGTCTGAAAGTCTTGTCAAGTCCCCAGGTACTGGAACTCCCACTCGGGCCCCTTCCTGCCCCCCCCCCCAGGATCAATGAGACTGATGGGAGAAGGGTGGTGAGAATGGTTTGTAAACTCAGCCTCCTGCATCTCTCAGAGCCACAACCCCAGCCTCGGCCTTGCCTGCTTCAAGAGCACCGGCTAAATGATGTTCCGCAAACCCACCTGTCTCCCCCCAGGCCCCGCAGGGTGAGGTACAGGTCCCTGGGCCTAAATGCCACAAAGAAATCACTTTTTGAGGCAGAATGGCCAGCCGGCCAGCCATGCTCTTGGTAACTCAGGGAATCACCGTGTCTTCTCTTTCTCGATCTCACCTGCTAGGACAAGGAGTAAGGTGCAACGCTCCTGACGCCTTGCTGGGCTCCCGGCATGGGCCTCCCCTTCTGCCTGCCTCACCAGGGCTTTGGCTACAGCGGGACCTCCCTGTGCCTCCCCTGCGCATCCTCACATCCTCATGCCACCGGGCCCTGCACACCTGGCCACCGCCCCAAAGGCAAGCTGCAATCCCAGTGAGCCGCCACCGGACCAGTGGCCAGTGGTTCTCCACTCAGGGCTGCAGCTGGGATTAAGCTGCAAAAGGCTTGAGAGATTGGGGATGACAAAAGGGGCTTGGAGACTAATTAGGAGCAGCAATGAAAGCTTAATTCATAAAAGCAAACATTTTCCATCCATCAACCTGCAACCAGTTAAGGGCAACGTTTGAAAAGAAATCTGTGCGTGGGGAAGGGAGCCAACAGGAACAGGAAATGTTTGAAAGAATGTAAACTATTTCGGTTTCATAAAAAGTAACAAGTAAACAGTTATTACATGCAAATAATGCCCTGGTTTTAATTAATGCTGAAAAGTCAAAATATGTTTGACATTTGTATGTATACACTGAACGGTTGGAGAGGAAAAAATGGTGCCCAGATGCCCGTTTCTGAGCAGGGCTGGCGGCTCAGAGGAATCTCAAACCTTGAGAAGGTCTTGTTTATTGGTGATGAAAAGTACAATGCTGCCTCCGCCTCTGTGGAGACTGGGGGCAGAGGGAACCTAGCTTACTTTCTTAACAAAGCTGGAGGGGCAGGCTGGGTCTGGGCAAGGGCACTCCCCACTTTTTAGCAGGCTAGTCTTAAAGGGCCAGTGAGTCCTCAAACCTCCATTTCGCTGGGGCAGGGTTTTCTAGGACTTCTCCACCCAGAAGTGATGATGGGTTTCAGGTCCCAGCAGCCTCCCACTCAAGAGCCCCGGGGCCGGCAGCCACAGCAGCGGCGGCTGGTCCTGCCTTCCTTCATGCTGCCAGAGGCAGCTCACACACAGGCAGGGGGTGCACTGGCCTTGGTTCTGGGGCGGGGGATGGCAGCCTTCAGGCTGTGCTTTCCAGCATTCGGCATCCTGCGAGGCATTCTTGTCTCTTCTAAACCACCTTAAGGCTCAGGGTGCCGGGGAAACAGGCTCGGGGAGACCACAACTGGGGAGAGGCAGCCTGGAAGCTTGAAGCTCAAGCTCCGGGAGATCCCAGCCCCCTGCGGAGAGTGGCTGGGGTGCCAACCGCCCCCCCCACCCGCAGACCAGCCGTTTGTCTAAGCCAGCCTAGCCACTAAACCCGCTTGCCACAAAAGACCTATGAGGTCCCCTTTAGAGCTCCTTAATCCATGATCTCCCCCCAGCATCTTTTATGAGGCCAGAATACTCCATCAGGAAAGAGGGGTGACACGGGCAGCTTCGAGAGTCAGTAAACCTCAGAAGCTGGGAGCAAACTGCTGTCTTGTACTGGCGAAGGACCCATATCCTCAAAGAGCTCTGTAACTCCCCCATGGGGCTCCAAGTGGCTGTTTGAGACCAAGCCAGGCCTAGGGACCTGTTTCTGGGGCTCCCACTGGGACCCCCCGGGCTTGCTCTCAGTTTCCTTCCCCGACCTTTGCCATTGCTGGTGTTAGGGTTCGCAGACTCCCTGCCGCTCACCTCGCCCACTGCGGCCCACGAAGCGGAGGTCATTGAACCTGGCCACCTGGTTCTTCATGACTGCCGAGGCATTCCGCAGTTCTGCAGAGTAATTCTCATCATTGCCGGCCATCACAGTCACCACCGTTCCATCGGGCACATCTCCCAGCGCCACCACCTGAGGGCACAGGGGCAGGGGAACAGCTTAGAATGGCAGGGGAGGCCAGGGAGAGGCAGGGAGGGGCCGCGCAGCTCCCCTAGGTCCCAGGCGCACTGCAGGATTTCTCAAAGGCAGAGCGGAGAAGAGGCTTAAGGGCAATGGACACCTTCCCCCCAGAGAACAAACACAAGAAGCCAAAATCGTTGCCTTCCACTCCCAAATCCTAGATTAGCTGGTGAAGCCATGTCCTGAGAAACTATCCTTTCAGGGAATCTAAGCGGGAGCTGTGAATGAGCTTCATCAGTGTGGTGTGGGGTGCAGTTTTCCTCTTTTCCTTCGGCCTGAGCAAAAGAGGAATCAACGTGCTCCTAGCAACCAAGTCTCTAAGTAAAAATAATATCAACAACAATAATAACGGGACTGCTCCCCACGCTCAATTAATGCAAGAGCCGTTTGGGGTATGAAATTTGGCCCTGAAATGCGGCGCGGGCCCAGTCTGCTGGGCTCTGCAGAGCCTGAATTCGTTATGCAGGGAAAATGCAAAAATGCAAAACAAGCCAGTGTTTTGAGAGGCGTTGTACAGAAAACCCCCTTTAAAGTGAGAGAGGGGCTTTCGATAGCAGGAGGATGCACCTGCTGGGAACTGCAGGATGGCGGTGGAGATGCCCCCCCTAATACGGTCTCCCCCACCCCTCACCCCAAGCAGCGCGCAGAAGCAGATGCCTTTTGAAAAGGAATCACGCTGCAAATGTAGTCACAGCCATTTAAACGTGGCCACCGCGTGCAGGGACTAGGGATCCAGATGGTAAAAATTTCAAGGAGAAAATGTTTGGGGTCTGATTAAAAAGGCCAGATTTCCTGTCAACATCCTGTCTTCTTTTAATTTCAAAGATTCCTTTTAAGCTCCAAGTGACAGTAAAACCTCCGATCTGAGGATTAAAGTCACACGGGCCTCCCCCTTCTCCCCCTCCCGGGGAGATTTTCCCCACTGGCATTTTAAGATGTCACCCCGGAGACCTCCAAGAGCCACTCATCCTTTTTTTTTTTTTTTTTTTTCCAATTTGGGAGTCATCTTAATGGGGGAGCAAGGACGGCCTCAGCTGCCAGAAGTCGCTGTTTCCAGGCACCTCGGGCACCCGCCACCCCCAGCCGCTGGCCCTTCCTGCCCTGCCCTTTCTCACGGCAGCTGTGAGAGGTTTAGGGGAAAACCAAGGCGTTTTCGTTTCATCTCGCTGCCCCCTTAAAAAAATGAAAATGAAACAGTCGCCTACTCCCTAGCAGAGAGAAAAAGATCCTCTGAATGACTGGGGGCTGCCAGGGGTGGGAGCGCCCCCCACTTGTGCCCGACGTTCGGGATTCCCGCTGCAAACGTTTAGGGTTCGGTGCACCCCCCCCCAAGCCCTAGAGTCGCCCGGTGTAAAATTTCAGAAGCCAGTGGCTGAGGGCGTGAGCAGGAAGTGTCTCTGAAGCGGTGCAGGAGGAGGGGTGCCGGCAGGGGGGAGGCCCTATGCATGCACCCCGCGCACCCCGCCGCCCGCGTCCTCGCCCTGCGCCCCGGGCTCTTCCGCCCCTCTGCCCGCCGGGCTGTGTCGGGGGGATGCGGAGCCCAGAGGCGCGGAGCCCGGGCGCCCGCCTCCTCATCAACGTCCCTCAGCAGGGCTCCCGGCCGCGGGGGGGCGAGCCCCTGGGAGCGCGGCGCGCCCGGTGCAGCGGGAGGGACGCCGGGGTCCCCGGGCGGGGCGCCCGGGGCCGGGCCGCGGGGTCGTCCCCTCCCTCCCCGCGCCGGGGCCCGCCCGACCCCGGGCCCCGCACTCACCTTGAAGGCGACGGGCAGCGTCTTGTTGCAGCGCCAGTGCGAGGGCAGCACGGAGCAGAGGAAGTTGGGGCTGTCGGTGCGCACGAGCTCGCCCGCGTGGTCCGCCAGCACGTCCACCATCGAGCGCACCTCCGGCCGGGCGCGCCCTCCCGGCCCCACGGCCGCCTGCGCGCTCAGCGCGCCGCTGTTCTCGCCCATCTTGCCGCCGCCGCCGCCGCCGCCGCCGCCGCCGCCGCCGCCGCCGCAGGGGAAGGCCGTGGAGGGAGGTGTGAAGCGGCGGCTGGTGCTCGGGTCTACAGGAATACGCATAACAGCGGCCGTCAGCGCGCCGGGCGGGCGGCGGCGGCGCGGCTCCCCGGGGGCGGCCGGCGCAGCGGGAAAGCAGAAGCGGCCGGGCCGGGGCCTCGCGGCGAGGGGGCGGCGCCCGGGGACGCCCCGCCGGGGCCCGCCCGCAGCGAGGCCTCGCTGCCCCGACGGCGGCGCGCAGCCCGGCCCGCTAGCCCCGCATCCTGCGCCCGCGACCCGCGCGGAGGGACGAGGGTCTCGGCCGCGGCGGGGCCCGTGCGCGCTGTGCCGCCGCCGCCGCCGCCGCCGCCGCCCCCGCAGCCCGCGCGCAGCCGCCCCGCCGACCGCGCGGCCGCAGCCCCGGAGCAAACCCTCGAGAATCAAGTGGCGGCGCCGCGCCGCGCCGCGCGGGGTTAGTACCCCGGGGCCCGCGGGGGCGGGGCCGGCCCGAGCGACGCGTCGCGCAGCCAATCGGAGCCCCCCTCGCCGGCACCCGGCCGCGCTCGTGGGGGAGGACCGGGGACCGCCGGGGGCCGCCCAGAGGGCTGGGGCGGCAGGCCCCGCCCCGGGAGGACGCCCGAGCGGGGGCCGGCGCGTGAGCCCGGGGCTCCTCGAAAGTTCGGGGGCGCGGGGCCGACGCTGACGATTTGGCTGAGCCGCCCAGGCCCTGCGGAGGGCTCCTTGGCCGCTGGCCCCGGGCCGCGCGGTGCCCCCACGCGGGGGCCGCCGCTCCCCTCGTCGCGCCCCTTCCCTGCAGCCCGTGGCCCGGCCTTCCCCGCCTCCAGCTCCCTCGGCCTCTGGTGCCTGCGCTCTGAGCTCGGGGACCCCGGGGGGAGCCTCCAAGGCCGGCGGCACGGAGCGGGGAGCGGCCCCGTGGAGGTTTTCCACCCTCCCCCGCTCCCCCCGCCCTGCGCGGTCCCACAAATTATTTTGGCCCAAGAGCTTCCACCGCACACGAGATTCCACGACCACCAGCCGCTTCCGCAGCTCCCGGCCCACGGCGGCTTTGGGCCCGGCCTCCTGGGCCCCGGTGCCAACCCGGGACCGACGGGTGTCCCCCGGGCCCCCGGAATCTGCCTTGGGGGCTGACAAGCGCCGTTCCTCTCCGCGCTCCCCGCAAAACAACTCTCAGGACCGGGCAGGCCTCGCTTCGTCGTACTTCGTTGCGGCGGCGGCCTGCGAGTCTGAGACACACGGCGGGGCCTGCAAACGGGCGTGTTTTCCCCCGGATTTTTGCCCGGCGCGCGGAGCCAGGGTCCGGCGTCGAGCAAGAGGACGCGGGTCCAGGGCAGGAGGACAAGCGTGCGGAGAACGCGGGTCGGGCTGCGCAGCTAAGGGCCCCGGCTTCGGGAGGAGGCAGCTTTCCTCCGCCGCGTGGCTGCAAACGGGCCCCACGAGGGCCTGTGCCCCCGCCTCCCCGGGCGCTGTGCTCCGGCCGCGGGCGTGCGGCTGCTCTGCGGAGGCGCCGCCGCTCTCACTCCGGCCCGCGCGGCCCAGCGACTCCCAGGGCTTCCCGGCGAACAGTCCTGGCCTCTCCCGCCGCGCAGGCCAAAGGGTCCGGCCTAGGGAAAGGCTACAGCGCGGAGGGGAAGTGCAGAGACCGAGCCCCCAGGCCTTCGGAATTATCGCCCCACATGGGCTCCCTGGAGCCTAGGGAGCGAACGAACGAACGGAGCGCGCGCCGACTCTCCCCGCCGCCGCCGTTTTGGAGACTGAGCCGAGTATTCGTTGTTCCCGGCTCGGCAGGTGCAACCTCACGAATTCCAAGGCTCGGACGCGAAGGAGCACAGGATCCGAAGGGGGCCGCGGGATCGCGCCCCGGATCTGACCCCGGCCCAGGGCGCGCCGCTTAAGTCGTTGCGGAACGAATTCAAGCGCCGCGTGCGCTCCAGGGCGGGCAGGCTTTGGCCCAGCCTCGGCCACCTGGAGAGCTGGTCCCTGCCTCTGCCGTAGCCTCACGTCAGCCCCTGGGGCCATTCGGAGGCGGGGACCGCGAGGGACCCTCCCGGGATCTTAGGGAGCCCGCGTCTCGGGGTTGCAGGGCCCCTGGGCCAAGGGCCTCGCGCTCCCGGGGGCGCGGGCAGTAGCGGCAGAACCAGAAGAAAGCGAGGGACCCGAGCTTAGGCGCCCCCAGCCTCTGGGAGCTTCCCGTCAAAAGGCCTTGCAAGTTGTGGCCAGTTAGGGCCCGGGGCCGGGGCGGGCGGGCGACGCGTGTGGCCCGGGAGCGGCCGTGGGGCCAGGACCCGCTGCGTCTGGGGTTTGTAAATTCGTTGCGTCTAGTGGTTTCGGTTTGCACCCGTGCCCTTTCTTGTCCCTCCGCCTGATTTCTCCCTCATTTTACGGCGGCTTCGCAAACGGACATCCTGAAAAGGCGGTTCCTGTGGGTCTCAGCACCCGGCACAGGACCCGGCTGCCTGCAGCCCTCGGGAGGGTGCTCGCTGCGCGTGGGCGCGGGAACCCGGGGACGCTTGGGTCTCCAGCCTGAGGTCGCCGGGGGCCCGCCGGCCCGGGAGCAGTTCCGGGAGCCACCGCTAGTTGGCGCCTGCACTCTGCCCGCCGCGGGGTTGCCCGGCCCGCCCTGCCCACAGATGTGAGCCAGCTGCGCCCGGGCCAGGCCCAGCGGCCCGCCTCCTACGAGCTGCACTTTCTGGACAGACGTCCCTACGATTCCTCACCATCTTTGCGGCCAGGCTCTGTGTCCGACCGGAGGCTTCCCTGCGCCCTGCCTGCCTCTGATGGGCGCAGATGCCTACTGACTGGGCCTATCTGGGACCCCACAGTCCCTGTGCCCTCCCACCTGCAGAACATTCTCCCTGCCTGAAATGAGTCCTCTCCTGTCCCATTCTGAGGGGCCAGAGGGTGAGGAGGACACGCAGAAGAAGGGGCCGGCTCATTCCCAGTTTTTCCCTGTGGCTGGCTAATCTACCTCCTCCCCATCCCTGACCAACAGAGATCTACAGTCGCCCCCTCCCTGTTTTCTTTTGTACTGTTTCGAGAGACAGTTGGACAGCTCCCACTCCCTTACATGGGACAAGTGGATACCCTCTCCCTTCCCCATTTTGTATGGCTAGCCACCTCCTTTCCCTCTTCCAGTGAGTGGACTGGTGTACAAGTCTCCTGCTTTCTCTTGAAGGACTCCACATAGGAGCACCCCAGATTGTCTGCAGCAGGGTGGGGAAGCCAGGAGGTCTGGGCCTACCTTGGCCCAGAGTTGGGGGTTGGCAAACCTGAAGCCCACAGAACTCAGGATCTGGGGGCCACTCCTCCCACCAGCATCCTTTGACCTTGGGAGTGGAATTCATGGCATCAAAATGACCCTGCGTCAGGGCACCCTCCTCCGGCCACCTGAGAGTGTCTAGGAGTGCGCTCTAAAGGCGTTGGTGGTAATGAGGTGCCTGCATGTGTCTCCCCACAAGCCAGAGAGCTTACAAGGGCAGGTCTGATTTCTCGAGAGTCTAGTAGCAGGGGAGGGTGAGGATCCCCCAAGGGTGCCACGACGCTGGACAGACCTGATGTGGAAAATCTTCCAGGATGTTCAGAAGGGACTGTGGAAGGGGCCTGGGCCTGCAGTCCCGCGGCTTCAGTTTGTCTTCTCCCACCACCTACCATGATCTAGGTAAAATTGCCTAAACGTTCTCTGACCCTTATCTATTTCATCTGTAAAGCAGGGCTGATAGTGGCCTCCTCACAGAGACGGGTGTAAGGTGCTTAGCACAGGCCTGGCACGTAGGGGGTGCTCCATCCATGCAAGCTGTCACTGTCATCACACTGAAAAAATAAGGCTTGATTGCCCCTTATTGGGGGCCTTTGGCAAGTCTCTTCCTCTTTGGGGGCCTCACATTTCCCATTGGTGAAATATGTTATGTTCAGAGCTTGTCAGGACTCAGAGCCTAGTCCATGGCTATCCTGTCCCTTGCTCCCCCACACCTTGGTTCGCCTAGGGGCTGCCTGGGGGAGGTAAGGAATGTCTCTAACCTGCTTCCAGGCAGAGGAGACTTGCAGGAGGGTTTTTCCAACAACCTTCACAGGGCTGCCTGAGTTAAGACTCACCTTCGTTCCCCTGAGCTCTTAGACCCTCACTCTGGAAACTCACTGGCCCCTACTCCCTATCCCCCTATAGGCAGACATTCTCTTGACTAGGAACTGGGTCTCAGCTGACACTGCTAGCCACCTCCCTGTCCCCAAGGAGGCTTGCGTTCCCAAGTCTCATAGGAGCCCCAGTCCCGTTACTAGCAGAGGACTGTCTTCTAGACGTTAATGATTTCTCCCAGCCTGGCGTCCACATTCCCCCTCTGGTGAAGCCCTCCTTCCTGGTGGCCTGGAACTTAAGGTAGGACACTTCTGTCCCTCAGCGAGCCTTGGTTTCCCCTTCAGTGAATGGAGGTGGTTCTCATCGCTCCATTTCACAATCCAGAGGATTAAAGACTCCCTCTAGGAGGGGAGGAGCATTGCGTTTCACCACATCTAAAATGCCATCACTGTTCCATGCGAAAGAAAGAGAAAGAAAATACTGCTAGTTAAACCAAGACTTGCCTGCATCCCAATTTCAAATATATATGTTTATGCATATATATTATTATACACACACATAAAAATCAGTGAGAAAGGGGCATGAAAAACAACAATAATATGGTCAACGGATTGTTGCTGGCAGGGTTGGGGGCCCTTACCCCAGAGAATTCTTTCTGGGCAGGCTCTCTGGAAGGCTCCCTAATGTGCAGAAGGACAAGTGTGCTTCTCAAATTACAGGGTGGCTTTTTTTTTTTTTTTGGAAAGGGCCAGACTGTGAGGGGAGGGAGAGGGAGCTGGAGAGAGCCCTGTGGTTAGGACGCAGCTACTGGCTCTGCCACTGACTGCCTGTGTCACTTTGGCACCCCCCTGAGCCATGGTCCCCTGGCAGGGGCGGGGAAGAGGGGAAAAGGCAATAGCGTGGATGGCTGAGGGATTACGGTGCCCAGGCCCCTGTGTTTGGGCTGCAAGTACATGCTTTCATTCCACTCCAGTAATG